AATAAATAAATAAATATATATATATAATCTGAAGAGACACAGTAATTTTAAATTGGGTCAATACAAAATTCCACATGTGAAGAAATTCATTATTGTATCGAAGTGAAAAACATTTTTTCGATCGTTTTTGCCTGTATTTCATCTTTCACCTACTTTTTTTTCTGTCACAATTCTTTTGATGGGCTCTCGGATAATTCTTTTCAGCGAAGTGCTATTTTTAAATTTAAATTCTGGTGTTTGTTGTTGTTAGTTCGCAGACGAAGGCTTCCTGCCGACACGTTCGTTGTTTGTTTCATTCCTTATTAAGGTTTTCACATACTTTGTTTTACTCATTTTCCCTTTTTCCTAACCCAATTGCAGTCTCTCTCCCTTATTACCATGAAAAACTATTAGAAATAGTTTTAATGCAGCTTTAAAGAAACAGCGAGTTACTGTAGTTGTTTTTTTAAAATTGTAAATAATATAAGTTAATTTAACATAAGATACTTTTATGGATCCAAATAAATGGATTTTTTTATGCATCATAAATATTTAATTTACAGTCTTTAAATTCTTGCTTGAGTTTTTTAATACTCCTTAAAAATTAGTCTGTAGCAAGAATTTCGTCGAATAATTGTGTGGTAGGAATAATTGTTGAGTTAATGAATATCAGTTGTAATTTTGAACCTGGTCTTGGGTTTTTGTTTAAACTGAGTTCTCTTTTTCTTTTCCAAGAATTTGGACAATGCTCATGTCTGTAATCAATTAGTCTTTAGATGGTTGTTATTTGCAAGAAAATATAATTTGGGATGAGAAAAAAATGAATGTTTTGGTACAACGCAAAAAGAAAAAAACAACAAAAAAAACAAAACAAACAAACAAACATACCAGATAAGCGTAGCATATCAGTCAACCTGACATGACTCAAGACACACGATGAGGACCAGGACCGTGGGAAAGGAGCTCTCGCCCTTTTGCGCCAAAGCGTGTTTTACCTGTTCATTTCATGGCGGTACTTTTTCCACAAATGAGGGGCGGCATTTTCAGACTTCACCCAAGGCGCCACTTTTCTCCGGTACTGGCGCCTTCGCCCCGTTTTATTTGATCAGATTCATTTGTGGGTTGTTTGCGACTTCTGACACCTTGCGACTTCTGACACCTTGCGACTTCTGACACCTTGCGACTTCAATTCGGGGCTGTCTGTTTGTGGCGAGTAGGCCTAGGCTGATGATCTCTTAAATTGTGTCATATGGGGCATGCACAAGGTGAGAACCATTCAGGAAAATTGAGATGAACCTTAATACATCAACATTAACTGCGTCTGCGCTGATGGTTGTTGCCCAACAAGCCCTAGTGATATATGACGTCAAAATTAACTGCCTCTGCAATGATGGTTGTTGCCCAAAATGCCACAGGGATGGATGACGTCAACATTACACAGCCTCTGTAATGATTGTTGTTGCCCAACAAGCCTTAGTGATAGACAGTTTAATGTAAAAAAAAAGATTTGTTCAAGGTCGTCTTTCCTTACACCTCCAGATGATTGTAATTTAAGAATGGTGAGAACAATGCCCACCGTTTATTTAGGCCTACTTTGTGCCACAACTGAGTAGAATAAATGGCATATTTTTTAAACCTACATAAGCTTTAGTTGCATTTCATTTATATTTATACTTATAAAAATATAATTTTTACATCGGGGAAAAACTACATTGCCTGCTATGTATGTGACGATCATCTCCCAACAGTTCTCCTTGCTGTGGGTTTTCTGTAATGCAGACTTATAAATTGTGCTGGGTTCCTGGATCTGGACAATCCAAAGCAGATCTGACCGTGTGAGAAAAATTGCAGTCTCTATCGATTGATACCGACGTGATCAGATGTATGTCCTTGTGATTTGTTTATTGAGATTGCATAAGCAGATATGACTGGTCATTGCCTTAGACTTAGAATCAACGGTAGTCTTGTAAAATGGCGCCCAATCGATTCTAGTAACGAAAACAATCTGAACGCAACTGCTCTATGGAATTATTTCCTCCTCATGTCCCTTAGTCCTTAGACCGTTGGGGCGCCACATATGACATGTGAACTATCCTCCTCCATTCGTCTCTGTCTTCTGCACTACGCACAGCATCGCATAGTTTTAGTCCCGTCCACTCTTTGATGTTATCTTCTCTTTTTTTCTTTGTCTTCCTCTTCTTCTCCCTCCTCTTATGGTGCCCTACATGATTTCTTTGGGAGCCCTTGTTTCCTTGTTACGTGGCCGTACTATTGTAGTTTGCGTTTTTTCACAGTCATCAGTAGGTCATCGTACTCCCCAATTGCCTGGTGAATCCTTTCTTTCACTTGATCATTGGAGATATGGTCCCTACAGCAGATGCCAAAAATGCTTCTGAAACATCTCATCTCAATCGCTTTTATTTTCCTTTCAAGTTCTGCTGTTAAAGTCCAGGATTCGCAGGCATATAGGAAAATGTAGAGGACTAATGAGCGCATCCGCCTGATTTTGGTGCTGGGGGCTATATTTTTGTTGTGCCATATTTTCTTGAGCCTCTTTAGTGCTGTTGTGGTCTGGGCAATCCTGGACATCAGTTCGGGCTTAGAGCCTTCTTCCGAGACTATTGCTCCTGCGGACCTTAATTTCAATGGTGATGCCGATGGTGTTATTTGTCATCAGCTTTGTTTTTTCGGCACTGATTCGCATACCGTAGGACGATGAAGTCTTGTCGAGACGCTTTAATAGGTTGGCCAGCTCTTCTTCGTTCCCAGCCAGTCCAGCTATGTCATCCGTAAAGCGTAGGTCTACTCCAACCGTGGTCTTGAACCATTCTCCCATGTTGTTGTTGAGGAACTTGAGGAAGCCTGCACTGGTGGCCTTACCATAGAGGTTGCATATCATTCTGGTTAGGTTTTTGTTGATGTTGTAGTGCCTCATGGTGGCCCATAAAGCAGCATGCCAAACCCTGTCGAGTGCTTTCTTGAAATCCACCAAAAATTATTTCAGTTCTGATCAAATTGCGATGCAGTCCTTTGTTTTAAGTCAGGTTAGGCAGCAAATGAACTGTTTCTCAAGGATGAAGAAGCATAAACTGAGAGGGTATTCCATGTGGAGTTTGTTGACTTAGGAACTCAACTGGATAGCTTCTTTAGCAGCAATGTAAAACGTATCATTCGAAACAAAGTAATTACAATGTAATTTTAATTACATCTGATATAAAATTTTATTCAAGTGATTTATTTTGAACTTTGATTAAAACTTGATTTAATTTTGGCTCTTTGACAGGGGTCAACACCTATATCTCTGTAAGTTTATCTTTTGACAAGGGTCCACATCTTTATCTCACTTTAATGGTATCTTTTGACAAGGGTCCACATCTTTATCTCACTTTAATGGTATCTTTTGACAAGGGTCCACATCTTTATCTCACTTTAATGGTATCTTTTGACAAGGGTCCACATCTTTATCTCACTTTAATGGTATCTTTTGACAAGGGATACCACCTATATCTCTTTAAGAGTATCATTTTCCATGCCCACTATGATAGAACTATTATTTTAAAATGTTATCATTTAAAGAATATATCCTGAGCTATAACAACTAGAAATTGTATAAAATTAAGATAAAAACAAATTGATTATTATTTAAAAGTTAAAATGGACAACACAAAAGACTTTTTACCTATATACTATTAATGCAGATGATCATAAATTGTTTTGAGCCTACAACTACCGCCCGGAAATATTATTCTATATAAATGAGCCATCTAACCAGAGGCATCACTATACTCATGGTGTCGTCCCCCCCCCCCCCTTAAAAAAAAAAAAATACGGTCATTTACAATTCCTTTTGGTATTGTCTGTAAATAAAGTCCTTAGATTTCCAGGTATTGCTGTGTAAGAGTAAGAACAACTTCTGCAAGTGTATCAGCCCAAAAATACAGGTGGCAGGTAAACGTGAAATAAAAACGACTTACTGCTGTAACCTGTGTCCAAATTTTAGCGATGGTCACGTAAAGGTTCAATCGCCATCACACCATCATCTGACGTGTCTTTAATGATTTGACTACTGCATGATAAGCACTCAAGAGTGTGATTGATAAAGTCTTTAAGCACTCAAGTGTGTGAATGATAGTCTTTAAGCACTCAAGTGTGTGATTGATAGTCTTTTTTACTTACATTCCAGTGTGTTCTAATATAGACTTTTTCTGCGTAATGCACTTTAAGAAATTAAAAATTATTTCCTACTTTTTGATGGGTTTTTTTGATAGATTATTCTTTGGGGTAATTGCTGATATTTTGATAGTTCTTGACCAAGAGGGGGGGGGGGGGAATAGCCTAAAAACTGCCGACATAATTAATAGACAAAACAAAGATGACCTGATATGGCAAAACCCGATGCATTTAAATTTAAGATTAATCCAAATAGAGACTGACCGACTTTTGGACGGAAAGTTGCAATCTGATCACTCTCGGCATAATTTCAGTTTCTGCAGAAACATAAAACTTAACTTTCGGTTCATTTTAGGTTTCAGCCAAAATTGATTGAGGCTTTTGTTTTTCTACCAGAAGTCAGACTGTCACTCTGTCTGTCTGTCACTCTGTCTGTATGTCAGTCGGCAATCAGATATTCATTATTGCTCAACGTCTTGCTTTCATCATTTGATATATGACAAATTCTTTGCCAACACTGCTCACAGCTGCATGATGACCTAAGTGTCCAATATTTCCAAAAATAACATTCCAATTAACGTTAAACAAAGGTAAATACTTTTGGTGTTACTTTTGTAATAATTTAAATAAAATGTGGGAACCTTAGGTTTATTTAATTCATTTATTTTGATTTACCAGTCTGGGGACTGGGGATGTAAATCAAGTCTCGGGACATTGATTGAATCCTTTTATAGCGCTTGTCTCCATGCTATTTTAGCATGCTCACAGCTGACATAAATCAAGTCTCAGGACATAAATCAAGTTTCAGGACATAAATCAAATCTGGAGACATAAATCAAATAAGTCTTGGCAATAAAAAATGCTATTTTCAAAGTCATTTTTACACAAAAATTGTGAGAAGAAACAGTGCTAACAATTGTTTACTGACTCAAAAAAAACAATCACTTTCAAACAGTTCATGTTTAATCATAAGACTTCAGTCCACATCATCTTTTCTTTTGTTTAGGGGCATTTTCCAAGCCTGTAACGTATCTCTTTGGAATTTTATATTTTTCTGAAAAGAAATCAGGCATCATTACCAGTACAGGTACATTAAATTACATGTCAGTGAAAATGTCGGTGATATTTTCAGTGATATCATCGTTGATATTGTCAGTGATAATGTCAGTGATATCGTCAGTGATATTCAGCATCATATGTCACCATCTCAATTCTATTGTCAACTTTTAATAATAATAGTACCGTATTGAAATAATTTACCATAAAAATACAGCAAACATAAATGTTCACAAAACGTTAGCTTTGTCTGCACACGTCAATGCACCTGGCATGAGATGACAATGTTGAAAACACTCACAGCTGACCCACAAAACAAACCACAAACAAAAGAAAACCACACAAAAAACAACCACTAATTGAATATTGGATATAAACAAAAAACTGGTGTGCTTCATTCATCAACTTTAACGGCATGTCCACTAGATCAACTATTTTTGTCTTACCTGTAAGTAAATTATAGACAAAGTTAATTTGATTCCCCTGGACTAAAACCTGAGGACCTTTATTCTTCTGCTCTGGCTGGGCCACTGTACAACTGCATGCCACTGATTTTTGTACTATTCGTGAGAAAAGCCGAATGTCTATGCCGTATTCTTCCAAGTTGTCCACAATAGTCACCTGTAGATTGGTGATATGTTTAAGAATGAATCAAGGCCATAAAACTACGATCACAAGATAGGAAATGAATTTCCACTACATTTTGAAAATGTTGAAACTCTAATGTGACTCAGAAAAGATGATACACCATTCTCAAAGTCCACAGACTCAGAAAAGATGATACACCATTCTCAAAGTCCACAGACTCAGAAAAGATGATACACCATTCTCAAAGTCCACAGACTCAGAAAAGATGATACACCATTCTCAAAGTCCACAGACTCAGAAAAGATGATACACCATTCTCAAAGTCCACAGACTCAGAAAAGATGATACACCAGTCTCAAAGTCCACAGACTCAGAGTCACACTTGCTCTAACCATCAGATTTGGTCTCATTGGTATATTGTATTTCTCTACTTTTCAGAGCAGCATTGACCATAGGCAACCCATGTGTCCTTTACCAACCCAAGAATAGATGTCTAAACTGCCTGCTGGGTCTATCCCACCCAACTATCTGCCCTGAGCAGCGGATCACACCTCATCTGCCTGCTTGGTCTATCCCACCCAACTATCTGCCCTGAGCAGCGGATCACACCTCATCTGCCTGCTGGGTCTATCCCACCCAACTATCTGCCCTGAGCAGCGGATCACACCTCATCTGCCTGCTTGGTCTATCCTACTCAACTATCTGCCCTGAGCAGTGGATCACACCTCATCTGCCTGCTTGGTCTATCCTTCTCAACTATCTGCCCTGAGCAGCGGATCACACCTCATCTGCCTGCTTGGTCTATCCCACCCAACTATCTGCCCTGAGCAGCGGATCACACCTCATCTGCCTGCTGGGTCTATCCCACCCAACTATCTGCACAGATCAGGGATGACACCACAAGAATTTATAAACGTTATTAACATAGCGTTACCATAGTACATTGTATACTGTCTTCAATGTACACTTTTCAAGTAGTTTATTGTATACCCTTTCCATTGTACACTATGCAAGTAGATTATTGTATACCATCTCCAATGTCCTTACAATGTCAAGTACATTATTGTTATTATCACCATTAAGGTTCTCGAAATACACAAAACAATAAATGATGAATACATGAACTCACTACTTTTGTGTGTGCAGGATTGAGCATCATTTTACTGTAGATTCCAGACAACTTTTCATCTGTTGTGATTAATGTCCTCAGAGTTCAAAGGCATGGTAAATTATTTCTTTCACGTCTAACAAATTGATATGGACATTGAAAGGCAACGGACTTATACTCTTTATAAAAAGACAGTACCTTTTTTGATGATGCCCTCATCACCACCTCAAGCTTGATAGGTTCCAATTTGGTCTTTTTGATTGTCGGGGGTCCAGAACCCGAGCTGATGGCAATGGCAGCCTGCATCTTACCAACGACTCTTGGAAAAGAACATTTTTAAAATACTTTATAACCCAAACAAGCTCATCATTTTTAAAAGAAGCACCAAAATTAATTTGTCATGAATGTAACCGCACAATAACCAGTACCACAAACAGACATGTGTACAAGAATAATTCCATAATGGAGACTGTAACAGTAGAGTCAACATTGTTGCAATGACTACAGATCTGGTTACACTCGAACTCCCAATATAGTCTCAGAATGGTACTCCACCATCTCAAAATTGTACAATACCGTATTGTTATAGTAAATAAATGTATCTACAGTATAATGTTTACAACAACTAATTGCATTGCCTGTCTAACAAAGGTGACTCCTAAAAGAAGACGACTGATGTTGATACACTGCAAATAAAAAGGCGCCCATCACTTGCCACTTTGATAGACAAAGATGTGGCGGGGGAGTGGACATTGAGGACGCCAGATGAAGTGGTATCCGAGCAAAAGTGGGCTGGTGTCTAGGGAGGAGGCTGAGCACTCTTTCAGAATTTTTTTTATCAATTCAAAATGCATGGATGCACTTTTGCATATACCTGAAAATAGTTTTGCATCATTCTACACTTAATCGTAGCGCTTGTGAAAATTTAGGTTCCCCTTACGTAGCTGTGTTTAATTAAATCTTTTTTGTGTGGTTTTAGTAGTTAATAAATAGCAAAAAATGTTTTTGATATTTTTAACTTATTTCAATCTTTTAAAATCAGTCCAAAAAAAGGGTAAGGTCCACCAAAATGGTGAATACCACACAAAAAATGAATTATTTATATTTCAAATGTGCGTTTATGTCAAAAATTAAATGATTGCTAATTGAATAAAGAAATAAGGTCATTTGTCATACATCTGGCAGGCCACAATATTTAACTTGCCGGGCCCCAGGTTGGTCACCACTGCAATAAGCTAGGAGCCTGATAACCATAGCAAGCTGTATTGGGAGAAGGGAAGAGAAGTGCTGGCCTAATAAGATTTTACAGCTGCTTAGTGACAACAAAAAAGATTTCAAATGCCGCTTACTAGATCTTATAACATACGTCAGAACACAACATTACTGTGTGGAGCAGTTAAGAATGCATTTTAAAAAAAAAATCCATAATTTTCTCCATTTGCGCAATCCAGACAGCTGGTCAGCTGAATAACAAAATTATTATGTCACAAAATTATGCCATACAGGAGCGAAGCAAACAAAAGCGAATGCTTACTAAATTTTTCACTAGGGCGAATATGCTAAATATTACATGGCTGTGTTCTTTATCTCAGTGCATATGTAATATAATTATGGACTGTCCATAACCAATCGTATATCTCTGTCCATTCACTGCTGACTAAAGAAAGCAGCTCAAACGTTCTTGCTTTGTTAAATCATAAAAGCCACCGGAATATTTTTTTATATGGTCTTGTTATCTGACAGTTCTGACAGGTCTCGGCGTACAATCGTTTGAGACATCTCAAAATTGTGCACTGTATGCAAAAATGGTGAGAGTAAATGTCTGTGGTAAGGTTGTTGTTTTTATCCCATATGTCAAAAATACATTGGCTGTAGATACCACGTAACATATCCTAGTTATGTCAAATGACTATTGCTCGATGTCAAAAACTCAAATCTTTGATAAAAATCAGACTTTAAACGAGATATTTTCATGAGGGATTAATCCGTTTGGTCAAGGGTGTAAACATTATAAGAGTACAGGTGCAGTTAAGGGGAGATTACTCATGAATTTTTCTTGTTATGTTATATTGTCACCAATCAGTGTTGTGTGGAAATAAATGTTAAAATTGGTCATCACGGATCAGCATTGTTTAGATATAAACTTTATAAAGTGTTAAGACTGCAATCAAGACCAAGTCCAGAATAACAGTTGTGGTACTTGAATCTTTACCTGTTGATGACCTGTTCCCAGTTCATGTGATCCAAGTCACCTTCAGCTGGCTTTAATATGGCATGAGCTAGAATTGGGTCTAATGTCACCATTCTAAGGAAAAACAAAAAACAGACCCATGATTTTTTTAAATTTCTTCATCTCAAATCCAATATATTTTGGAGATTTTATAAATGGTTGCAGATGGGGGACTGGGGTGAAAACACTAATATTTAGTCCACTGTTTATTTTTGTAATATTCTGTAACATAATTATTTTGTTTGGCTACGCCAGAGGCTCCTAAAATTTTGTTAATTGTTGGTGACCTTCTTGTGTTCCCCTGGTGCCTTATGACAAACTCTACCAACTACACTTTGAGATAGCAAATATTCTTTTTTTCAAATCTAAGGGTTGTGTAAAATAAAATAAAAATAATATGAAGGTCACTAAGTGCCATGCAATAACCACTTGTAAGAGCTTCTGCAATAGTTATTACTGAAGTGAGTGACAGGTCTGCACCAAGGCCACTAGATGTAGTGTTCTGTCCCCTTAAATTAAAAGTGGAAATAAAATTGTTTAACATTTAGTGGTGCCCATGTGAAGAGCCATTGGGGATATTTTGGGAACCATGTTCAGGCTGATGTCATAATTTTCTACATAAAATGATTTCTTTTTAACGTGGTAACAATATTCCAATATATTCTTCAATTTATTAATGTTAATTTTTAGCATATTTTTATAGTTTATACAGCTCAACAAGTTTTTAAAATTATAATTTATGTAAAAATGTATTTTTAAATCAACAGTTTCTTTAAAAGCTTCTGACTTGGGATTAGCTTGTTGGAGATTGTTGGTTTTGATGTAGTTGGTGACATGGTGGCGTACATCAGATATCAACAAGGCTTGACCTTTGCTAAAAAACAGGACACAAAATTTCATAAAACAACTGGAATGTTAGCAAAGCTTGGTTTATTAATAATTTTGTTCTCCTAACATTTTTATGCTTTATTTGATGTTTTTCAATTAGCTGACTTAAATTTTAAAAAAAAATCAATATTGACAGTCTGTAATCTTAAGTGCAGTAGCAGAAAAAGAATTGAAGTTATAAGAGTTTTGGGTAAAAGTGGAAAAAATGGAGGAATTGGTAAATATTTGAGAGAATTTGCCAGCCAACATTGGTCAGAAACATCAGTTAGTTTATTTCCCAATCTGAGGTAATGAATTTAGAATTCAAAATGTGGCTGATCCAGTAGGTACTGAAGAAGAATCATTAGCAAACATTACTAGAGTTGCATTTTGGAAAAACCAAATTTGATTCTCATTTGGTGGGTGAAAAGGTACCCATGCAAGATAAGCCAGTGTTGTAGTGTAAAAGTACCCACACAAGATAGGCCTGTGTTGTAGTGTAAAAGTACCTACACAAGATCTGCCACTATTGTAGTGTAGAAGTACCCACACAAGATAGGCCAGTGTTGTAGTGTACATGTACCCACACAAGATAGGCCAGTGTTGTAGTGTAAAAGTATCCACACAAGATCTGCCACTATTGTAGTGTAGAAGTACCCACACAAGATAGGCCAGTGTTGTAGTGTACAAGTACCCACACAAGATAGGCCAGTGTTGTAGTGTACAAGTACCCACACAAGATAGGCCAGTGTTGTAGTGTAAACCAGCTTACTGCCCCATGGATTTGAGTCAGAGATAATGCAACAAGACAAACTAGGAAAAAAAATGTTTTTGTTCATTAGGACCCAAAAATTGAACTTAAAGCCAACAGCCCTGCTTTAGAGGCAAACAAAATGCATGCAGGTTGAATGCACTAGGTCAGGGGGTCCTGCTTTAGAGGCAAACAAAATGCATGCAGATTGAATGCACTAGGTCAGGGGGTCCTGCTTTAGAGGCAAACAAAATGCACGCAGATTGAATGCACTAGGTCAGGGGGTCCTGCTTTAGAGGCAAACAAAATGCACGCAGATTGAATGCACTAGGTCAGGGGGTCCTGCTTTAAAGGCAAACAAAATGCACGCAGATTGAATGCACTAGGTCAGGGGGTCGGCAACCTTTTTTGAGTGATGAGCTATTGTCATCCCTTTAGAAAATATTATGGTTACCGCAGGGTGGACTGTTTAAATGTCATTGATAAGTCACAAATTTTAAAAAAGAAAAATGACTGACCACCGTACTTGCACATGACAACAAAATACATAGTGAGTGAATTATTGTAAAAGATAATACAGGAGAAAGATGTAAGTGATTCAGAAAGCTTTTTATTTGTATACATACGCTATCCCAGACTCTTTGAAGAGGTCATGAGTGGCTGCATTGACCAAATAAACATCTGTGAAGGTCAATGGTTGATATGTTTCCTCTTCACTGGCTTGAGGTTTGGCTGCTTCTGCTATTTCTTGAACTTCTGGCACTTGCACCTCTCGCAGTCTGCATAACAAAAATAGTATTTTGATACAGCTGCACCACATGAGACCTTGTATCTTTTGAGTCAAAATTTACCAGTGCTATCACACACACACACCACCACCCCCCCGCCAGCTATTTCATCCAATCATCCCTCTTAAAGTAAAAGTCATCATGTCATTTTAAGGGAGTGAGGGCTTATGGCTTGATGTTTTGCACACGATCAATAAAATGGAAGGTGACATTTTCTACTGTTTTTACAAGTATCGTTCTGGCTTTGTACATTTGAACTGATTAGTTGTGAGTTGCAACCTCAACAGTTAAGGACTACAACATTTTTTTTTAAATTTAACAAAAGACCGAGTACATCTGATAGCTAGGCATAAACAAATAAACAACAAAAAAGTTATTATTCATCAAAATTAGCATCAGGATTGGATAATTTTTTTTTTCAAAAGAACACTTCACAGACAAGAGTTATCTTTTGAACCATAGAGAACAGATTATTTTCGGTTACTCTTGTTGGTGCTAACATGATTTTAAATGTTCTGGTTTTAAATTTGAAATAAATGGTAACCTTATTCAAATGTCTTATGCTTAAATTTTTCTTGTTTAAAATTGTCATCTTAATCAGAATGTTTATATATATGCTGAAAACGGATCTCTATAATGTATTCAAAACACATTTCCAATTATTTAGAACAATACAAGAATCTTATCTATCTTTGCTAATGGTCCTTGAACCTCCAGATGCAATGGCAATTTATCTTGTTCGGACTTTTTCATTTGTTGTGATTTTTTTCAAACAGTCTCCACCAGCACTTTCCACTTGTCCCCAAAGTTGGGTCCAGTGCTCAACTCTGAGATTCAGGATGCCTGCTTTGTCAGTATTTTAGATGGGCCTGGCCCTGATAGGGTGGGGGTCCCAGGTAAAGAGCCCTTGCTTAATTAAGCAAACACTCTTTTTATAAGTCATCAAGTTGATAATTAGTAGGTAAGGCTGAACATGGAGGAGAATAATTTACTCACGCTGGATGTGACTTATCAATGTCAGAATGACATCAACACCTTTACTCACGATGGATGTGACTTATCAATGTCAGAATGACATCAACACCTTTACTCACGCTGGATGTGACTTATCAATGTTAAAATGACATCAACACCTTTACTCACGCTGGATGTGACTTATCAATGTCAGTGATGACATCAACACCTTTACTCTGCTCTTTGATGGTGATGAAACCTTCTTTCACTTTTGCTTGTAGAAACTTTGACAACTGTAGAGGTTAAGTAAAACTGCAATTTTTTACAAGCATTAAAAACAGTTGGCGAGTCTTAGGTCAAAACATTTCGTATTCATGTCTGATAAAATTAAATACATTTTAAAATTTAAAACATACCGTACACAAGAAGAAACTGTGTAAATTATTTCATGGTACTAAAAAAATGCCATTGCGTATTTACAAAGAAACTCACCTTTTTGTAAGAAGACTTTTTCAAATCTAGCTGTTTACCTCCACTTGAAATGTTTTAGAATAGATAAAAATAAATTATGAAACTTTCATAGAATAATTTTTTTAGATGGACCGGATCTCCAGAGAAATTTTTAATACAGTGCAACAAATTTCTTCAACATTTTAGAACATGCTTGTATTTTAAATTATTGGTGTATATTGAAGCACGGTTGTGTACTGAAGTGATTAGTATAAAGCAAAAATTCAAAATTCATTTAATTTTAAAGAAATAGTTCTTCCTTATTGCAAAAATTATAGCTTTTCCTTTTGGAGTAAAACATAAAAGTAAACCTAAAAATGTTATTAGGTTCCAGGTACCTAAATGGCTGCATAAAGTTGCGGAGAATGTTGCCAGTCAAAAGAGGCAAATCACTTTTCTTTACTTTTGATTTTATTGCACAAGCAAAGCAGAAACCTAGGAGCTCATCCATTTCAGCTGGAAAATTTTAAAATCTTTAATTAAAATGGCACTTATTAAAAAAGTTTAAAAGCATTTGATACTATCTTATTATTTTGAGCTGAACCAAATATTGTTTGCATATTACTGAAATGTGAGAAAATTTCAAATAATATTTAGTAAAATATATTTCAATATAAGTATTAACGACGCATTGGAGATGGCGTCGGTGGGTCGTCGAGTGGGGGCTCTAAATACCCCCACCCTCACAGGCCAACGCCAGGTCTCCCCGTTGCCAGACCGTGTGGAAGCACGTTGGGAACCTCCCCACTGGCCTGGGGGATATCCGGTCGACTGAAAACGCTGCGTTTAAAGCGTTCGCGGTCCACTCTCCTTGGGTCTGAATGGCTTTGCTTCGTCTCCGAAAATGGGGTTGTGTTACCTCCTCCCACCGTCCAGGGAGTTGTCCGGTCGGGGCGTAAGCGGGGACGAAACGTTCGCCTAAGAGCGGCTTTATCAGGGCCGCGTAGCTAAAATCATCGGCAAGGGTTTTGACCGCCACACAGGCCTCATATCCATTATTGGCAACAAGTAATCATGTTATTACGTTCCTCCCGTTGCGTTGGGAGTCATGCAGTGGCCAGGGTTTTTAGCTTTGGGAGGAAACTTCCCTACTAGTCTGCCATGCCACGAAGAGGCAAAACCCCCTGTGGACGCCTACAAGTTTCCTCCTCCCATTCTTGCTTGCATTCCATAGGTTGCTGACCCCCATTCTTGCTTGCATTCCACAGGTTGCTGACCCCCATTCTTGCTTGCATTCCATAGGTTGCTGACCCTCATTCTTGCTTGCGTTCCATACGTTGCTGACCCCCCATTCTTGCAAATGTCCAGAATTAGACTTAGTTTTTAATTATAATAATTAAAATTCTCATAATACTGAGATAGCTTGCAATCTAAATGAAAATGAATGACCTCTAAAGCTCAGCAATAAATAAAAGATGACCATGAATGTAGCATAAATTTAATAGTACTATTTTAGAGATTAATTTAAGCAATATGTGAACCTAATGTGCCATACTGATAACAGTTTAATTTCCATCGTAATCATATTTTTATTCTTAATTCACAATTAGGATCAAGTAAAAGCTACATATTGTTTCCATTTTTAACCTACCACCAAAAAAACAAAAACAAATATATTTAATTTTAAGAGATCAACTCTGCATAAACTATGATCACCATTTATGTGTTGAAGTATAAAAAAAATTTGACATGTTTTCAATTCCAGTTAATCACTTGCCTACAAAATGATGTTCAAAAAGAATAGTAACCCATACCAACTGGGTCTCTTTCACTGTTATCAGCTTCATCCTCTTCAGAACCCTCTTCAGTTAGTACAGCTGCAGCAGCCTCCTCACCATCTGGCTCCTTATCTTGGATCTGTACAAATATAAAGACATTGTAAAAAGTCTATTCCAGTAATATAGTAAATCATAAAACAAAACTTTGGGTTTAACACTTTATAGCCACATAAAATGGAGTGATGCATGGGTGCCCATGGAGTGATGTGAACCTTTTGACCCAAACAACAAGAACAATTGATGAATAATTGCTCATTCTCTCTAACATGCCTACGCTAAACATTTTCAGTTTCTTACACTCACCAATAGCAATTTTGTCAAAAATGCTTTCAAATGATTTTCATCTGTAAATTATGCTTGCCGTAGTAACATATCTTAGTTAAATAAATATCACCTGACTGGCAAAATTATTGGGTATAACCTTATTTTTAAAAGTCCTGAAGTTTTTTTTAAACTCTATAAAATATTTGGACATAAGTGTTGAGTGCTATTTCGGAGGCGACATTTCCACGATACTTACACAAACAATGAGTTTTTTTTACATTTTTAATGTAAGAAATTTTTGTAATTTAATTAAAATTTCTACACATTTTTGAACTACACTCATGTAGTTCATTCTGTTTGCCTAATTTTGTTCTAACTAGTTGAATAAAATAATTATTAATAATTTATTTTGGAGTTTACATTACATGTCGATCTACGTGAACCCCCCTCCCCCCCAAACAAAAATTAGCCCATTTTTAAACAATTGATGCAGTGCCCCATCTATAAAAGAAACATATTTCTACTTAAAAATTAGAGGAATAATATGGGTTGTCCATAAAAAACGTCAGCACAAAAAAACTTTATGGAAATTTATCAGGCAAATATAAGGATTGAAACAGAAAAGAGTCAGTAGATTTCAACTTGTAAATCAGTATGACATTGGTCCATCTGCTGATTAAGTGCACACTGTGTGGGATAGGGTTGTTGATTTTGGAGATTATAAATACTGGTGCATAGGGTGGTGGTGGATAGGGAGGGGGGGAGGGGCGGGTCTGCAGAAATTAGGTAAATTTCAATATTATCCTAAATTTCTGAAACTCACTAATATCTCTAATAAAACCGTCACCCAAAAATCTGTGAAATCCAGGATATTTTGTTATTAGTACTCATTTTGTGTGATAATCATTTAGTTAGGCTGAATATGTGGGTGTGTGTGTGGGGGGGGGGGTTGCGCCCACCACACATTATTTCAACATGGTTATGCCACTGCTTCCCAAGTTGTTTATGAACCCCAAGCACTAACTGATCACCTAAAATATTTTAAAGCCACCCTCCCTCCCCATTTGTGGGAAGTAGGAAAAAAAAGCAGTCTTAATACTACTTTAAAGAAAATTTAATTTCAATTTTGCTGCCACTTAGGCCTTAAGATTCACAGTTGTACAAATAAATCTAACAAAAATGAGTGAAATAAATTTGTAAAGCAATATAAGGCAAAACAAAAAGGTTGTTAACTTCATGTTTTAACATGATCTCTCCCCCCCACCCCAGTCTAACTCTTTCGATGTGGAGCAACGCACACTGCCTTCTTCCGCCGTTCTCAAAAGCACTGACCAACGCGCTGTGCATTGTTTCAATATCATGTTTGTTTCTTTGCTATTTCTCTGTTAAACTTTTTAAAAGCTATTTTTAAAATAGATTTTTACATAGGAGAGTGGTATTTCATTGTTTATAAGCAAAACCAAGGTTTATTTGTTGTCATTTGAAGCATTATTTTAATGATTTTCTTAGCTTTTTTTCTACTGTTGCTTTGGCTACTATAGGCCCTAGTAGGTGAATAAGTTTCCTGGACGATTTAACAGCTCCAAAAGCTTTGGAATAGTTTTATACTATTCCTTTTGATAGTGAAGATGATTTATATTTAGATACATCGAATGATTCTGATAGTAGTAGTTTTAGAGGACTTGAGTTATAAAAGTGAAGATGAGGTATGTGTACATCATAGGCTTCGGGGAAAAAATGGTTTAGCAAAAAATGTTTTCACATTTTATGGTTCTTTTCTGTAACTTATTTTATTTCAACTGGAGAAATAAGTTTACAAACATATAGTCCTTTCAATTATCTTTCATTTGATACCAAGTTTATAAACCAAAGAATAATATTTTAAATATATTTTAATAAACCCAACCTCTCACTCTTTCATATAAGTGCTGTCCAGAGCAGACTGCTTCTGCACCCCCCCCCCCCTTACCATTTCTGTCGCAACTTGTCCAATAGACTATTAAACATGCTATTATATCTACAAATTGGCCCCCTGGGGGGTGGTTACGCTACAAGTTAGGTAACACTGGAATATGTTGACTTCGTTTAGTTGCATGTATGAAATAATGATTGAGCAGTACTTTTGAGGGGGGGGGGGGGCTGAGAGCTTAATTNCATGTCAACAATGCAAGTTTTTTCTTCAGATGACATTTATGGAATGATTTATATTAGGGGCTGAGAGCTTAATTTAGGTATGCATAGTGAGGGAGGGGTGGTGCACAAAATAGTATGAATGCAAAATGGGAAGGGGGTCTAATATTTTACTTGATGCATTGTAATGTACAGATGGCCCCTAATATAAATCATTCCATAAATGTCATCTGAAGAAAAAACTTGCATTGTTGACATGTGTTGATAAATGGCAACCAAATATTTAGAGTGATTTCCCTTATGAAATTTTCACTAAAAGCTAAGTGGTTTATGATTATAATTTGTTTCAACTTATTCAAATAGATCAACCATATAGGAATAATAATAATAATAATAATAATAAAGTTCATTTAAAAAAACACGCTTCATCCCCAAAGGCTCGAAGCTCGGTACAAAGTCAACAAAAAACATATCTATAATTCACCACATTTAAAACAAACACAACACTACAAAAACTAATTACAAGCATACAATCTCAAAGTCTTTCTACCCATTTCAACCCGGAGCAACACAGCAACACATGGAAAATAAGGTAGACAATCATCCCAGAAGGTATTTGCGAAATAGATGTGTCTTTAGATCTGTTTTAAAGGACTCCAGTGTCTGGTTGTTTCTAAGATCGACAGGAAGGGCGTTCCAATCCAAATTGTTGGACCAGCAAATGCGAAAGTGCGCTTTCCGTAAGTCTCAAGGCAAACACGTGGTGTCGAGAGTTTGCCACTATCGGATGAGCGGAGCTCTCTACTGGGTACATAAGGCGTCAGCAGCTCTTTCAGATAGGACGGCGCCAGGTCATGTAAGCAGCGGTAGCACAAAGTTGCGATTTTGTACTCTATGCGAGCACGCACCGGCAGCCAATGCAACTCTCTCAGAAGTGTTTTTGCATGGTCGAATTTGCGTTTGCGGAGAACTATGCGAGCCGCATTATTCTGTGCTATTTGAATTTTATCCAGGAGCGTAGCTGGAAGACCCACCATGAGAGCATTGGAATAGTCCATGCGTGATAGCACAAATGCAGACATCAGCCTCTTTGTTGTATCAATACACAGAATGGGCAAAAAAAAACATATCTATAATTTTTGTTGAATACACAGAATGGGCAAAAAAAATCTACCTTGCTGACATCCGCAAGACCTGTACCTCCACTCCTGTCCGCATTTGAACAACACGTTCGAAGGCCTGAATTAAGATATACCACAAACCTGAAGATTTTCTATATTCAGATCACTGCTTTCCCCATCCCTCTCTTTGTTTGGGACTAGCTCATCAGGGCCCTTAGCAAAAGTTTCACAGCTATCTCCTTCACTGCTTTCATCAGTCACTGTGTTAGGCAGGGGTTCAGGTACAACAGGTGGCTTTGATTTGTCTCCAATCTCCCTAAAATAAGGATTACATCAATTCTTTAACCACTTTTCTTAAACTATGTGGAATTTTTCATTTCTTAACTATCAAACAGTATAATGTACCTGTACTCTGTCTTTACTATCAAACAGTTTAATGTAAACCTGTACTCTGCCTTTACTATCAAACAGTTTAATGTAAAAGTATGTTGCCGAACAATTATAAGCATACAGAGACACATTTCTATGATGGAAACTACAAATTAAGACTCATTTTTACAATACAATTAATAGCACCTAAAAAGGCGTTAGCACTAAAAGATCAACAAAATGTTCAAACGTTGGTAAACAAATTTGTACCAAAATTGAAATGTGTACACTATTTAAAGCAAAAGAGAAAACATAGGTGAAGAACGTGGGACTGAAAATGAAATACGGATTACGGATCAACTGAAAACAGGTCCCACTGATAATTTATTCAATTATAAAGACAAATGAAACTCTCTGCTACCAAAACTGAATAACTTTAGAAACAGTGAAGAAATAAAACTCAAAGAAAAGATAAAAAAGCCTGTACCATAAAACATCTCCCAGCATGTGCAGCACCGCCACACCTTTTCCTCTCATAGCTGACATATACATGTCCTCACCACTGAGCAGTGCCTTACCCAGGGCAACAGGAGACCTGTGGGAAAATTAGACCTCTCTTCAAATAAATACCAATGAGCATTTATGCTACAAGACCTCTCTTCAACTTAAACACATACATGTATTTAAGTGAAAATCTAAAAAAAAAAATGGACAATAAGTCTAGGGCCAGGTTGTCAGTAGCAGTTAAAATAAAATTTAACCTACAATACAATAACCATAGGTCACATGTAATGATATCATAGATAATTTTTGAAAATAACTTTTTGTTATGATCCATGTATTGCTGAACACAGATTGTCTATAAAGGCTAACTAATGTATTAATGATAGCAGGTGGGGAGAGACTGCAATAAGGTTAGGTAGAAGGAAATATATGTCAAACAAGGTATGGGAAAACCTGAAAAAGGGACTCAACAAAACAACAAACGTGAAGGCAAGAAGCCTTCTTCAGCAAAAAAATGAGTGACACAAAGATAAAAATGAAAACAAACACCTAGCTGAAATGTAGTATCCGAGAGGAGGCGGGAGGAATGTGACAGACTTTTAGTGGGTAAGAGAGTTAATGTAGGCAATAGGAAAAGAAAGAGATGAAAAGTAAGTCCGCTGCGATTGGTTGTAAAAAGGTTACAAGAAGGCTTCTTTCCTAAATGTATTAAGAAGTTTCTACAAATTTCTGTTAAAAAGCAACACATTGTGTTTGTGAACTGCGTCTTAAGATTTTTATTATTTCAATATCCTTGCCCATTGATATATTAGACTTGAAAAAAATTGAAAATGCTTTATAATTCGCAACTGCTCTATTCATCTCAACATAAGAACAGAACATTAAAAAAAAATTTAAGCTTTGTGAGCTCCAGGTTCTAGATTCAGAGAAATATTGGTCTATTCATAATTTTTATCACATGCTGAAAGAACACAATTTTAATGGATGCTATAAATAGAACATTTCGGACCCATTAACAAGATGAAGATTTATTTTAATTTTAATCCTAAATTTGAATAAACCTTAATTTTACTTTGAAAATCAAATCAGCATGAATTGATATATACTATGCCATTCATCTGAACTTTGGAAATTTCCATAAATTATTTATTCACAAAGAAAGTTGCATAACAAAAAAAAATCTGGAGGAGGAATTGGCCTGACAGTTTTAGAGAAAGTACAATTTTGAAGCCAAGCTCGAGACAACTCACTTGTTACCAGCTATTTTTATGCTCACAATGTCTCCTTTTTGTAAATTTCCAAACATCTTTGGAGAGGGTTCATTGTCTGGCACTACACCAGGGAGCATCAGATCTGAAGATAAAGCAGCAATAAATAAACTGTCTCATAGAAATTATTATTCATTATTTACCAACTTCAATTTGTACAAATTTCCCCTTTGAGAACCCTAAATTATTCAAACTGCTGCAGCATGGAGCAATAAGACTGGAACCAAAAGTTATGTACATAGAAGATTTACTCCTGGGTGTATGAGTTTTGGAAATAACATTTCAACCTATTCATTAAACATACAGTACACTTACCAGCACCCTTCTGAAGTTTTTCAAAAACCGGAGGCCAAGTACGGAAAGCAGGAACAATGTCAGGATGCAGCCAAAGGGTGTACACTGTAAAGTAATAAAAACAAAATATATCTTGAGGAAATTATAATTGCATAAACACATATAACAGTTAACAATACTGAAAACATCTTCTAAAAATAGAGCACTTCTCAGACAGGGCTTCTTGGTAATCATGAGCTAGGTTTGCAAGGATAAGATAATGTAAGTTTGAGACGTTACATTTTCTGATTAACTGTAAGCTAAAAATATTGACACAAAAAAATAATGATAGAAAAATTATTAAATACTCGAAAAAGGCATTGGTAATATTTAAATTATTTAAATATGTAATGCAACTAACAAACACTATGTCTACAACTTAATCATTTCACTAAACAGTTTAAACAGTCTTTTTTGAAGCAGGTTATAGTTTTAAGTTTTAAAGTTTTCTAAATATATATTTTTGTTACACACCCGTGGGATACAATGTTTTGAAATGTTCATAAAATATTGGATTTTTTCCAACAGAATACACAGCAATATTCTCATCTCCATGAGTGTTGATTTTGATATGGCTCATATCTTCTTTGTGTGGAACCAGTTTCAGTACATCACTTTCACTCAGACTTGGGTACTGGTGTAAAATGTCAGCCCTCATTTTTTTCCTACATTTGAAACATTTATAGAGTGTAAGTGAATGTGTTGAAGCACGTTTGATGTAGCTATTAGTTTAAAATAAGAAAATAAATATGCTGTCTTGCTAAATAATAAACTAAAATGGCATGGGCCTGTAAATAATATAGGAGAAAGGCTAATTAAGTACTTTAAATTGTTTGTTGAATCAATGGTAAATCATTACGTTTAATATGAAAAAAATATTTAAGATATTAAATATTAAAAAAGTTCTTACCTATCAGAGCTTTTAATTGAGGTTTTAGTCTTAATGCGAAATGGCTTTAGAAACATTTTGTCATATGGATATACCTGTACTGTAAATTAAGACATTTTAGTTATAAGTTTTGTTTCACTGAAAATGACAGGCTATAACTATAAGAGAGGAAAAAAAACAACTAAAGACTAAGTGACACCAAAAAGTGCCATCCACCATGAAATAATATGGCATCACCCACCAAATATCTAAAAAAAAAATTAACCATTATTAAAGATTAACCTACTTAACCTAGCCTATATTGTTTATTTGTTGACAGCTTTGTTACGTTAGTTGACATTGAAGTTTTGAACAGTGAATCAGAGAAACAGTGATCAACATCTTATAACTTATAAATAGAAGAAATTAATATCTTTTGTCTTTTGGCTAATTTGGAGAGATAGCACCCTGACACCATTTCTGATAGGGTCAAAACCCTGGTTCTGATGCCGATAGGGTCAAAACCCTGGTTCCGATAGGGTCAAAACCCAGGTTAGGGATAAGTTTAGTTAGGGTTTAGGTTAGGTTTAGGGATACATCTATCTTTTTTATTAATTATAGAATCACAAAAATTGCACTAGTAAAAATCAATTACTGTATGATACATTTTGATTATTATTTAGGGTATTTAGAGAGAGAGATATGTCAAGTTTTCAGTTGTCTACTCTGTAGGCTCTGCTCTAGACACTGAGGACACTATTTTCAGTTAAATGTTTAACTTTTAAATAAATTTATTGATGTTAAGGAGGGAAGCCACGGCGTCATTTGTGTGTTTATTATAGTTGCAGTGAATTAGGGTTTAGGTTAGGTTGAGGGATCGATTGAAATTGATGGTTCAGGTTAGGCTTAGGGATCGATTTAGGGTTAGGGATAGGGATCGATTTAGGGATACATTCGTAAAGTTCGATAAAAACGTGGCATTCGTCCTTAAAATTTACCAATAATAGTGAAGGTAATAAATTATGTTATATTTTATTTATTATATTATTATAATTATTAATTATATTAAATTATTATTTAAATACAATCAATTTCCATGACCATTCTTTACTCTTTACAGTACTTTACTACTACTTTAGACTAAAACAGTCTTTAGTCAATTTCAAATAATTATAAAGGCATGACCAGTGCATATATAAAAATGAACACTATTTCTACTTCTTAATAACGCTATCCTTAACCAGTTATTTCATTTATCTAACTCAATGAAAGCTTACTTCGAAGGTAAACAATGAGAAAAATTACTCACGTTGAAATCGGGTAACATCAATTACCGAGAATGGAGATAAACCCGAGATCATTCGCTTTTAATGACCAAAAAAAAAGATGAATCAGTATTTTATATTAAAAAAAGAACAAATGAGTAGGACGACTTTCATAATGTTAATTTAGAGGTTTTTTTATGGTTTGTCTTTAAATACGTTGAAAAAAAAATTATAATAATTCTGTTTTCATCATGCAATCAACGGTTGAAAATACATCCTCGTCGTTGGGTTTATCTATGACTATTTGTGCCTATTTCTTGGCCCCACGAACAATACTCAGTAGGCCTACTGCTCCTCAAATGCGAAAACCAAGATGGGCCACATAATTTATAATCACTGCATTTCCACAGATGAGAGACCCATTCACGGTGACTGTCCTACTGGTGCAGCTTCATGGTGCTTCTATCAGAGAGCTGCATCAAAAGGTCTCCCTCTTGGGATGCATGAGAAGATGCTCTCAACTTATCTGCCCTTTAGTAGCGAGCACCTCAAACCGGTGTTTGACGCTGGGTGACTTGTTGCAGCGGTGCATTGCGAGCCAGACGCAGAATGTTAATGAATCCATATATTCTGTGATTTGGAGTCTTTGCCCTAAGCACCTTTTTACTGGTAGACAGCGGCTGGAAATTTTAGTATGTATTGGTGTTGGAGAATTCAACATGGGATCGTAGGCCTCACACGATATTTTTTTAAACCCTGATAAATCTGAAAGCAGGTCTACAAACCCATCTACTTGGGGGGAAAAAGGGACAGTATCATATCTGTAAAGCCCCGAAGTCATTAGAAAATAATTAAGTATTGAGAAGAAGAGTTAGGAAAAAAGCTGCAGAAAAAGAAAGGGAGAGAGTCGAGTTAGAGGAAGGAGGGCAGCAGTATATACCAGGAGGAGCTGATTTTTGGTGTACCAGTATTTTTTTTTATTTTAAAAGTGTATCTTCCAGTTTTTATTGATTATGTAGTGTGCTATTTTGAATTTAAGTCATATAATAATGTTGAAATCATGTTTTTGGTATGCAAAGTAAGAGCATCTTTTTTTTAATTATTTATTTTCCTTCTTTCTTTTCTTTTCTTTTTTTTTTTTTTTTTGAGCAGGGTGGACGTTTCTTCTTAGTCCCTGAAAATTTCTTTTCCACAATTTTACATCAATTTTTTTCCTTATTAAATTCTGTTTTTTTTTTTTTTTTTTTTTTTTTTTTCCTTCTTTTTTTTTTTTTTTTTTTTTTTTTTTTTTTTTGAGCAGGGTGGACGTTGCTTCTTAGTCCCTGAAAATTTCTTTTCCACAATTTTACATCAATTTTTTTCCTTATTAAAATGCCAATTGATTTTTATGTTGAACTGGGTGGAGATTATTTGCTTACATTAAGAAAAAGTTTTTATTTTCTTCTAATAAGAGTTCAGTTTCTATTTTTCTCAAAATCAATTTTTTTTATAAAGATACTGAATGTTATTCTATACACAAACCTATCAATTGTTTTAAAAAGTGCGTATACTTGTTTAAATATGGTTTAAGACTACTGGTTTAAGACTACAGTGACAGAGCAGTTTAGGCTAAAAATGATCCGGGGAAAAATATTTGTACTGTAAGTGGTATTTAAAAAATAAGCAAAGATGTGCTGCCAAAGAAGCAAAAAAATCACCAAAAGGACATGAAAAAAGGGCGGCTATCTCTTTACCCAAAGTCTCAATGTTATGATTTTTAGTATACTTATGGCTAGTTAATAAACACAAGTTGATACCTGTAGCTGCTATTGCTTTTATATCAAACACTGATTCCAATGATCCCCATGATTATACAATCTTGACCCCTATTTATGCTCCGCTGGAATTAAAATTTTTGAAAATAATTTAATTTGTAAAAACACTAAACTTTAAACATGTTTTAAACATGTTCTGGCGTGTGCTACAATCAGGTAAACCCAGGAAATATCGCTACGATAGATTTATTTGATGATCCGTATATTTAAGTCTAATCTTGTTAGAGGCTTACGCTAATCAATTATAAATATTACTGTTCCGAAAATTGGCAGCTCGTGATTATAATTATAAGCCGAAGTCTTACTTCCGATCATTGATCCCATATGTCGGTATTTTTATTTATTTATTATTTGAAACTTCACAAGTCTAAAGTTTTTCATAGCAATGTATTAAACTACCTTTACATCATTATAAAGATCTATAATTTTAATATTGTTCTTGCAAAGTATCAAACATGTGCAGTTAGATTACTGTAGCAATTGTTTGTGGGGATTACCTCAAAACCAAATTCAGAGACTCCAGAAGGTATACTGCAGCCAGTGCCGTCTAATACCGGGCCGGATTAAGCAATCCTGGTGCCCTAGGCACAAACCCATATGGGTGCCCCCCTACTGCCCCGGGCCCCCGATCCTCCACTGACTGCTGGTATGTTCAATATTATGCAAAAAAACTAACAAAGAAAAACAGTTGTGAAATGTAAACACATATGTTTGTACTACTATCACTCATATAAAACCTACAATAAGGTATTTCTGTATTAAAATTAATAGTTAATTAATTTTGTAATAATAGTGGACAAAAATAATGTAAATTTTTTGGTAGGTTAGAAAGTCATAGAGAGCACACATTTACATTTTAAAGTTCTTTTTTTCTAGATTTACGTCTGGCAAAGTTTTTGAGTACATCATCACAGTTAATTTTGCGCAACAAGTCTGTCTCAATCATCAGCAAAGATAAGGAATCAAACCTTTCTTGTTTCATTGTCGATCTACTTGGATTTTTTAAACGTTTCAACTGAGAAAAAGAGCGCTCAGTCGAACAGTTCGTAACCATTAATGTTAAAAATATGCGCAAGGCGATTTCTACATTTGGAAAAGCACACTCTATGTTGTCTCCAACTATTACTTTGTAGAGTTCTGGATGACTGAACGAGTTGTTCTCAGATTTTGATGCACGAAACTCGTGGCGAATAGATGAGTGGAACTGTTGTAGTTCAGGATATAAATTATTGTTCAGATCTTCAGGATAAGCATTTATTAGTCCTTCACAACACTGAGATGTTTGTGGTACATCGACCAAACTGAAATGTTACATTAAGAAATGGCGTCAGCGGGGCGAGTCTAGACTCTTATGCCCCCCCCCCAAATTACCCATCCCCGGTTCGACCCATCGGGCCGCGGAGCGGCACGTTGGAGATGCCCACTCGTCAGGACGGCCCCCACACGGGCCCCTCACCCAAGTCCCTCGCCTGGGCGCCTGGGCGCTCGACCAGGACCCCGCCTGGGGGCCACCCCAACGAGGAGGCACCCGGTCGATCCGACACCATGCGTTTAAACAGTGCACTCGATCGACTTTCTCAGGAGTTGGGATGGAAAAAAATTACGTCCTAATATCTTCCCCCACCAATCCCGGGAAAGCGTCGGACGCCCTATAAGAGGGATTCCACAGTGGGTTTCCACAACGCGACTAGTTCACGCTGTAGCTGGGACGAAACGGTTGCCCAGGGGCAGCGTTCTCACGGCTGCATTATTTGAATCCCCGGCCAGAGGTTACCACCCTCACCTCTGGCCTCATACCCGTCAACGGCAACTTGTAATCATGAACCCTATCCTGGCTCTGCCTAACTTTCCGGCTGTGAAATATCCCAACCGGTAGCCCTGTGGGAGCTGTTTTATGTACGGCAGGTACCGAGCACACCCTTTGTCTGCCCACGCGGGGCGTGCCCAGTAGTTATGTTTCCAGGCAAACGCCGAGGGGGTCGCTGGCCGACACTTCCTAATCGGCAAGCCACAGCAGACTTGTCAACTGGAAGCCTTGAAGGACCAAACAAGAAAATCGAACTGCTAGATCATTATATACCTGTTCTCGTCTACTCATCTCTGTCTCAAGTTTGTCTACAATGATGTAGAAAGCAGATATACGAAATTTGTCTCTGGCATTCTGAGATACCTCAGGGGCATCACCATCAATGACCACTGTCTTTCGTTTTCGATTACGGGTCAAAGTTGACTTATAATCCACACCTGGTGATTTTTCTTTTGCAGCTTCTTCAAATATTTCAAATTCATTCCTAGATTCATGCAAGTGATCTGCTAGTGAAGAATAGAAATCAGCACACGTTTTAAGTTCAAGTGCTCATTTTGTAGAGCTTGACTGACCCTGTGAAAAGGTTGTAACTCTTCTTCCCAAAAGACCAACATGAAAACAAATTCTAATTCTTGCATCTTCTTTGCAATCTTTTCTGCTTCTCTTCTGGTGCCCCCTTCTGTGACTGGTCTTCTTGTAAACATTCTAACGCTTCTATAATCTGAGGATGAGACGTAAGAATGGCTTCAGTTGCCACAGCATGTGCTTCCCATCTGGTATCGGAGAGGGATTTTACCAGCTTTTCATTCACAAGGCATCCTTTCAGAATCGTCCATCTTTTGGTTGAAGCTGAGAAAAAAGTATAGATCAGTTGCACTGTATGGAAGTAGTTTACTGCCTCTAAACAGGAGTCAACGGCACTTCTGCCTACGATATTTAGTGAATGGGCAGCAGAGGGTATGTATATAGAAAACTCATTTTCTTCTATAATTTTTTCTGCATGCCCTTGTAGCACCCAGACAAATTAGCTGCGCTGTCGTAGGACTGATATCTGCATTTCGAAAAATCAATATTGCCAGCTTCGCATAAGCACTGCAACACTTGCTTAGCCAAACCTTCACCGGCGTGACTTTGCAGCTCCAAGAAAGTCAAAAAGCGCTCAATGGGCTCTCCATCTACCACATATCGAAGAACAACGCTTAACTGATCTATATGTGAAATATCAGGTGTTGAGTCGACTGAATGAAATAGCAAAACGAGGTATGTGGAAGCTTGAATAAGATAACAGGACAAAATCAAGGACGTTTCGGCATAAATCCTTCCTCAGCCAACAGTAGAAATGAAAATATAACAAAGAACAGATAACAGTAGACAACGCAAGAAGTATCCATTCGTGTCGCCGGAATTGGGAACACAGGAAGCGAGACAATATAAATATTGACACTGCGAAAAATGAAGTCTACAATAATAATGGACCAGAATATCCATTGGAATATTAAGAACACTTGTACAGTTGAGTACTGGATTCGCGGTGGGCCA